TGGAAATGTTTATAAGTCTATTCAAATTATACTATATTACAAATGATTAAGAATGGATTATGTCAGAGGAACCTAATTGGCTTCTATCATGGACAGAGAAGCCCAGCAGATAAATAGAATCATAAAGCAAAACACATACGGGATTTTGATCTCTCCATATGATATTTTCATGATCAAACTAAAATAATAATAATAATAATAATAATAAAAGAATCTGATGAAGTCTCTAAGGTGACTACCTAATAACTTGAAGAATTAAATTGGATTTTAACTTTTGGAGACAATTTTAGGAAACAGACTCGAGTTGCTTCCAATTCTGGCAGCATTTTTAGATATATTCTAAGTAATTTTTTTTCAAAATACTTTTTAGTTACATAAATTTGTTTGTAACATCACAACAATACAGAATATATACACTGAAAATCAATTTCTACCTCCTTCCTATAATCCCAAACTTGTGAGGTAACCAATGTTATGAGTTTAATGTGCATTTTTTAATACTTTTTCTAGGCTTACATAACATATTTACATATTCACATTTTTTTTTAACTCTCCAATGATATACTGTGTATTCTGCAACTTACTTTCTTCTCTTAACAGTGTATCATGGGCATTCCAATTAATACACTTAAATGTATGTAATTTTTTTCCATTAGTTATTATTATAAAATATAGATGTGCCAAAATATATTCAACCCCACCCTTATCAACTGATATTACAAATTGTCTGGTGCTGCAATACTCATGCTTGTAATTGTATTTTTATGCTCTAGTGTTTGTTTTTCTAATATTCATGTTGCATACTTATATGTATGACTTATAAAAGATACATTTGAATATCTCAAGGGGTGGTATAGGGAGGGTGGGAGGGAGGGAGACGCAAGAGGGAAGAGATATGGGAACATATGTATAACTGATTCACTTTGTTATAAAGCAGAAACTAACACACCATTGTAAAGCAATTATACTCTAATAAAGATGTAAAAAAAAAAGATACATTTGAATATCTCAAAAGGCTATAGACATGTGAGAATTACAAATACTGTGTTATAGTGTTTATTTCCCTATAGTCTTAACTATCACTAAATTATATTCAACTTAAATTTTTCTTCATTCAGATATTATACATCATTTTTGTTTTAATTTGTATTTTTATGATTACAAGCGTAGCTGGGCAATTTTTTTTTTGAGTTTTTTTAAAATTAATTTATTTATTTTTGGCTGCGTTGGGTCTTCGTTGCTGCGTGTGGGCTTCCCCTAGTTGCAGAGAGCGGGGGTTACTCTGCTTTGCAGTGCGCGGGCTTCTCATTGCGGTGGCTTCCCTTGTTGTGGAGCATGGACTCTAGGCATAAGAGCTTCAGTAGCTGTGGCACGTGGGCTCAGTAGTTGTGGCTCGCGGGCTCTAGAGCGCAGGCTCAGTAGTTGCGGCGCACGGGCTTAGTTGCTCCAAGGCACGTGGGATCTTCCCGGACCAGCGCTCGACCCCTGTCCCTTGCATTGGCAGGCGGATTCTTAACCGCTGTGCCACCAGGGAAGCCCCGTAGCTGGGCAACTTTGTACACCTCTTGGCCAACTTAGTCTTGCTCTTTTTGAACTTCCTGCTTCTATCTTTTTGCTCATATTTTCTTGGGTTATTTACCTTTTCTTATTAACTTGTAGAATTTTGAGTATTAGGAATGTGTGTGGGGCGGTGTGGCAAAAGAACATGAGTTGCAAATGAGTTCACTAACTATTTTCTTTTGGCTTGATTTATGTTCCATTCATCATAAAAATTTAAGACTTTTGTTAAATGTGTTCATTTTTCCATAACTTTCCACTAAAAAAATGTTTTCCTACGTTTTTATAACTTACGTTTCTAAAATTAAGATTTTAAAAATTCATCTGGAATTAATTTTTACATGTACTGTGAGATACAACTCTAACTTTATTTTTGTCCAAAATGGATAGCCAAGTGGTATTTGTTGAATTGTCTACCCTTCCCCAGAGAATTTGAAGTGCCATATTTACCATTTACTAAGTAACCATATGCACTTGGAACTGTTTCTCGATACTCTGTTTCATTTCACTGGCTTATTTTTTTTAATTTCAGAAGACAGGAAAAGATGGAGTATGTCTCTATTTTTTAAAGCTAACTTTTCTCTAATACCAAAGGAAAAAAGAAAACTAGAGCCAAAATTTCACTCATGAATATAAATGCAAAAATTTGAAAAAATTAGCAATCCTGATGTAGTAAAATATTAAGGTAATAGTACAACTTGAACAAGAAAGTTTATACCAGAAACACAAGTATGCATTCATAGGACAGCAACCTATTAATTTTATTACAGTGATAAATTCAAGAAAAAAGCTATTATGTCAATAGGCTGAATATGAATTTCACAACATAGGGTAGCCAGTCTCTATAAGCACTGTGGAGACCAAGGAAGGCCTTTCTTAAACATGATAAAGACCAAGAAAGACCCTTCTTAGACAGTTCTTTTGTACTTGAAACTGTCATAAAACACCAAATCAAGAATAAGACAATAGGCCTGATGTTAGCATTATTATTCAATATTGTTTTAGAGTTATTAGATAATAAACAATATACTTATTAGAAAAAAAGAAATTTAAAATTTTTTTGCAGATGACGTGACTACACACCTAAAAATTAAAAAAAAAATCTATTAAGATCAGAGAGTTTAGTAAGCTAGTTATCCATATTTGAAAATCAATAGCTTTTAAAAAATATTGGCAATGAACAGTAAGAAATGGAAATAGGTTTTAAAAACTCTACTCACGTTTGCAACAAAACTATAAAATACATAGAAATAAACAACAACAAAGTTAAAGATCTTTATGAAGAAAGTGAAACATTTTAGTAAAGAACACATTAAAAGACCTAGTTAAATATTCCCTGTTAGGCATTCAATATCATAAACATTTCAAATCTTACCTAAGTCAACACATATTTCCTGCAGGACTTTTGCAGACCTGGTCTCAATGATTCTGATTTGCTTGTGTAGAAAATGATTTACCAACTCTTTTTTTTTTCTTTCTCTTTTAAAACAGTGATGCCATACTAGATATTAAGACTTCCTCTAAGGCGACTGTAAACAAAATATTATGGCACTGACGAAACATTTTTATCAGTAAATGTGAAAACAGTATACTCAGATATCCTGATGTTATCTGAATTTGCACTTTTTTTTTTAACCTTCTTAGGAGATGGTGTAATTCAATGTGAACTTTGAGAAAATAAATATGAAATGATAGAATTGGGGAAAAAAAGGCAAATCTGTGGTAAAGACGATCTGGATTGAATAGTCCAAAATAAAATATGTATGATTAATAAGATTAGGATCAGTATGTACACTAATAAAGCTAGCTTCTACTCGCACAAATATGTTTAAGAGCTGAGAAAGGGTTTTGCTATTTTATGTAGCTTCATTTAAATCCTAATTGGGATACGCTACTTTCTCAGGATTAAAGACTGCATTTAGATCCCACTACTTTCAGTCTGACCTGTGCTGGGCTAAATGATATCATTGCATATTCTGTAAAGGAAGGACTGACTTCGTTTATTCATTCAATAGACATCTACTAAGTAGCTGTTAAGTGTGGGCCCAATCCCTGCCCCAAAGCCACCTGCAGTCTGGTTAGAAGAAGTAGCAGTTTTATAGGCCTCTCCTACACCAACTAACTGCAAGTAGATGCTACACCAACAGACTTTTATCAGTCCCTTTAAGCTGTCCACATGGTTTTCCCATTAACTATTTCTATAGTTAATACTTGAAAGAAATATCTCTCTTAAAATAGAAACTCTGTTATCCAAAATTCTCACATACTATGGCCTTTCCTACAACTCAATCTAAACAAGGAAAATAAAATTAAATCTTTTTGTTAAGAATACTCAAATAAGGACTAATCTCCAAAATATACAAGCAGCTCATGCAGCTCAATGTCAAAAAACCAAACACCCCAATCCAAAAACGGGCAGAAGACCTAAATAGACATTTCTCCAAAGAAGATATACAGACTGCCAACGAACACATGAAAGGATGCTCAACATCACTAATCATTAGAGAAATGCAAATCAAAACTACAATGAGGTATCACCTCACACCGGTCAGAATGGCCACCATCAAAAAATCTACGAACAATAAATGCTGGAGAAGGTGTGGATAAAAGGAAACCCTCTTGCACTGTTGGTGGGAATGTAAATTGATACAGCCACTATGGAGAGCAGTATGGAGGTTCCTTAAAAACCTAGAACTACCATATGACCCAGCAATCCCACTACTGGGCATATACCCTGAGAAAACCATAATTCAAAAAGAGTCATGTACCACAAGGTTCATTGCAGCTCTATTTACAATAGCCAGGACGTGGAAGCAACCTAAGTGTCCATCAACAGATGAATGGATAAAGAAGATGTGGCACATATATACAATAGAATATTACTCAGCCATAAAAAGAAATGAAATTGAGTTATCTGTAGTGAGGTGGATGGACCTATATTCTGTCATACAGAGTGAAGTAAGTCAGAAAGAGAAAAACAAATACCATATGCTAACACATATATACGGAACCTAAAAAAAAAAAGGTTCTGAAGAACCTAGGGGCAGGACAGGAATAAAGATGCAGACGTAGAGAATGAACTTGAGGACACGGGGAGGGGGAAGGGTAAGCTGGGACGAAGTGAGAGAGTAGCATTGACATATATACACTATCAAATATAAAATAAATAGCTAGTGGAAAGCAGCCGCATAGCACAGGGAGATCAGCTCGGTGCTTTGTGTCCACCTAAAGGGGTGGGATAGGGAGGGTGGGAGGGAGATGCAAGAGGGAAGAGATATGGGGATATATGTATACGTATAGCTGATTCACTTTGTTATACAGCAGAAACTAACACAACACTGTAAAGCAATTATACTCCAAAAAAGATGTTAAAAAAAAAAAAAAGAACTAAATGGGGAGAAGCAAAGCTTTATAAAATAAAGGATTGGAAGCATTGCATTTACCTCTCTCACCAGTAAATTTTCTGCTTTGTGCTCTGCATCTTCGGGTACTGTTGAGTACAATGTTCGTATGTCCCAAGGAACTGTGGCAGTCTGAGAGGAACAAGGAAAAGAAATTAAGCCTTCCGTCTTAAAGCACTGGGCAGACCACTATACCAAAGGCACAATAAAGAAGTGTATGAGATCTTAGCATTTAAGGATAAGAGAAGACAGAGAAACTTCCATAGTTCTTACCAATTTAATCTCTAGGAGGGAAGATTCAAACCTCTTTGGATTACCACCACTGGCATTACAGTTAGTTCCCCCTGCTCCATGGTTTCAGTTACACATGGTTAACCAGGGTTGAAAAATATTAAGTGGAAACTTCCAGAAATAAACAATTCATAAGTTTGAAATTGTGTGCTGTTCTGAATAGCATGATGATATCTCAAGCCGTCACACTCTGTCCCCACCATCCCATCTCATCGACATCTTCAGGGCTCCATGATCCAGGATGACCTTCCTTCTGATGTATTGTCAGAAAGTTAATAAATAGTAGCCTAATACTATGTCACTACATCGTTCAACTCACTTCACCTCATCACCTAGGCCATTTATCATCTCACATCATCACAGGAAGAAAGGTGAGTACAGTATAATAAGATATTGTGATAGAGAAAGAGACCACATTCACATCACTTTTATTACAGTATATTGTTATAATTGTTCTATTTTATTATTAGTTATCATTGTTAATCTTTTACTCTGCCTAGTTTATAAATTAAACTTTATCATAGGTATGTGCGTATAAGAAAAAACAGTATGTATAGAGTTTGGTACTATCTGAAGTTTCAGGCATCCACTGGGGATCTTGGAATGTATCCCCAGTGGATAAGGGAGGATTACAACACTGTATTGCAAGTACTGTTTTATCTGTGAAGCTCATAATTTTAAGCTGTTTCCTTCCCTGCAGAACACAAAAATTTGGGCATCTGTATATTTTGACTAGTTTATTTATACCGGTATCTTTTTTGTTCTTAATGCTATTGATAAAATACATTTGAAATGAAAAAGAAAACCTACAAAATCTACATTATTTTAATCCTACTGTAAATAATCTCTTGAATATCCACAGGGTAAATTTAGCCCCTTTCAGAAGCCCTGTGTGTGTGTGTGTGTGTGTGTGTGTGTGTGTGTGTGTAGCCACAATTATGGTGGGAGAGAAGAAAGGGTATTCAGTAAATCTGGACCTTGAAGAAAATAAGTCATGTTTTTAGTGTCTTTGTTTTCACTGAAATAAATAAAACATTTTCAACTTCAATGCTAAACAAACAATTTTTTATTAAATGAATATACATTAACTAAAAATATAAAGAATCTCTTAATATAAGACATTTAAAACAGAATTCATAGATTGTTTTCCCTGCATATATCTTATGGGATGCCATAAATTGGTAGCTTTCCATTAACAGCTACCAGCTTCCTTTAGTCTGTACTCCTTGGGGATTACAAGGATGCTGGGATGATGAGTCTGTTAACATACATGGTACCAACAGTTGGGATCTTTTATTTTGTACATCCCCAAAGCCACAAATGATTCCTCAGCATTTCTAAAGCACAAAATAAGGTTCATTTGAACTGTTCTAGATGAAGGGCATTTTTTTCTAGACCAATTATTAAAACAGACGAGAGTCTTAAACCCATCCTTACTTTTGGGAAGGAGAGGGGTCCAGGGAATTTAGTCTTCTGAGGTCACAGCTGCAGCTGCAGGCTCTGCCACCAAGGGCAGCATCGTTCTTTTTCTTCCAATCCTAGCCTCATATTTTCTTCAAATCCCCTTTTCTCTTCACTCTTGATATAAGCTCCTCGTGGGAAAGAAATTTGGTCTGTTTTGTTCATCGCTATAACCTCAGTGCCTGGTTGGGTGCTCAGTACTTACTTGTTGAGTGTGTTGAATGTGTGTGAGTATGTAAATGTGCATTCTGTGTATGCATGTGGTGTGTGGGTGGTGTGCGTCTGTGTGAGCTTGTGTGGTTGCATGTAGCGTGTAAGTATGTCTGTGTGAATGTGTGTGTGTGGTGTGTGCCTGGTGTGTGAGTGTGATTATGCAGGAAGGTATGCTGTACTTGATAGCATGTGTTTGTGTGCATGGCGAGTGTGTCTGTCATGTGTGAGCGTGTGTCTGTCATGTGTGAGCATGTATATGTGCATGTGTGAGTGGGTGTGGTGGTATCTGTGTGTGTGGGCGTGCACACATGTACGTGCATATTGGGAGGATGGGATTTGGACACTGAAACAGGAAGAATGTCATGTGACTCTAACAGGATCAGAGGACAAAAATAATGATCAGAGGACAAAAAAATAATAAGAAAACTGTAATCAAGATACATTATATGGCAAAAATAAATGCTCATCTTGAAACACAGATACAGAGCCCCTCGGTCAGTGCATCTGCCCCAGGATTTGACTGCAGTTTGTGTGAAGAGAGTCTGGAAGTGCTCGCAGGACATGGCTGTCGATTTAAGCCAAGTATAGATACACACACAGGGAACCATTACCTCCCACGTGAAGCGTGTTGGAGCCAGTTTAGGATTTATTATTATCTAGATTTTACATTTTTGATTCCTTTTGAATTTCCTTTTGCTAGTTGCATCTTTTATGTTATTCACTCTGTTAGAAGATAAACAGTAAATAAACTCTATTGAAAGGTTGGAGTAGAAGATGAAAATCCATGCCTAAATTGAGCTTTGGGGATTATTGCTGGATTTCAGTTGTCTGGGGATAACTTATTTCCTGTTTGGACAGATAATTTGCAGATACACAGTGTAACTTGATGCGTTTCCAGGGAACATTACATATTGTGATCTACTGGCAAGATTAAGGATTTTTTTCCTCCATTTGAAAAAATTTTCTATATTTCAGTCATTATAATAAAATTTTTATATAAAAAAGCAAAAGATTCCTCTTTTTCATTATCTTCCACAGTTTATTGATTTCTTGCCTTTAAAAAAATAATAGCTACTCTAAAATATTCTAAGTCTGATGGAGAGTAAAGGGGCCCAAAGTTTAGTTTCCTGTTTAGTTATACCATAAACCTGTCATCCCACTAAGATCAAGTACTCTGTGGTATAGTTCAATAGAGTGAATACTGAGCTGGTTTAAGAAGGTTTTTTTTTTTTTTTTTTTCTGGAAGGTGGGCTCAGGTTTCCAGTAATAATAATTACATGACTACCTGATTTGTGATGCCACAGAGTAAAGATTAGGGTCCCAAATACACAGGCTAATGCTCATATTCAATATATGAGATTGGAAGTTCCTTCAATTTGGGGTAATAAAAATTACTCATAGGTACAATGGTTATGTGTGATCCCTGATGACCTCTAGTTATGAGATGATGTTGATTCTTTGCTAAATAAGGCAGCTGGGGCTGAATCACCCTCATGTAACCATGTGATAAATCTGAAACAATATTTTACAACATGTACATCTAATACCTTGCACAGAGTACACAAATACAAGAAAAGGAATACATGTATAATAACATGCTATTAACCTCAGTTATAGTTTGTCATAATGCTGGAGAACTTGCGTGAAAAAGCTGAAGGGCTCCATACAATTTCAACTTTAAGAACTGTATTGCTTCTACTCATTTTTGATTCCTTTTGTTTTCATTTTTTAATTGAAGTATAGTTGATGTATAATAGTACATAAGTTACAGGTGTATAGCATAGCAATTCACAATTTTTAAAGGTTCTATTCCATTCACAGTTACTACAAAATACTGGCTATATTCCCTGTGTTGTACTATATACATCCTTGTAGCTTATTTATTTTATACATAACAGTCTGTACCTCTTAACCCCCTAACCCCATCTTGATCATTTTAAATTTCTTTCATGTATCTCTGCTGAAGCAAAAATAAATCGATCAAATAGGCAGAAAGTATACAGAGTCATACTTGTTAAGTAAGGGAATTAACATGGTTACAAATAATTTCTTTTCTGAGAATTAGATACTTTCCGACCACTACAAATTGCCTTGGCCACAACAGACTTCCTGTTCTCTTTAATAAACCCTCTGGTCGACGATCAGTAGAGCTCAATAGCATGGGACGGATCTGAGACTGCACTGGAACTCAGCCGAGCTGCTCATCGGGTGGGAGAGTCTCATAAGGGCCTATTGTCCAGAGATTAGGCATTTGGAAATAAAAACTGTCCTTTTATTTATGAAATGAGGCATGCAGACCTGTGTTTGTAGTTTCAGGTCCATGACATTCAGACATCCTCCACGGCAGCCCTGACACTTTCTGATTCTTTCTACTCTGCAGTGGGTAGTCTTTGGGGCTTTGTCACAGCTACCATTCTGCTGGCTAAAATGACTACAGAAGACTTCATTCCAAGCACATAGGGGCCATTTCTCAATTGGCCAAAGGCCACCGTCAAAGTCTAAAAAAGAAGTTGCTTTTCCTATGTTGGAGCTGAGCAAAGCTCCCTCTGACGGTATTGTAGATCCCAGCTGCTCAAAAAAGAGGACAAAAATGGTGGGGTTTAGAGTAACCCATCAGTCTGAGCTTGAGAAGCCAACAAACCTCACAATAAGGGCTATTAACTAACGCTTTGTGGTCAATTCCAACGTAAGCGTGTGTTTAAAAGTAATCTTCACCTAAATTTCTCAAATTAAAACACTGATACTGGTTTTTATCCTAGTAGAGCAGACATTTATACTACATTGGTTGCTTGAAAAACATTTTTTACCCCATTCAGAAGAGTATTGTGATTTTATTTTTTTTACATACATGAGAATTCACATGAATACTTTCATTGTGCTTTAAGGGAAAGGTCCTTCTTGTTTTGCTGGAGTTAAACTGTATGGGAAGTGCACGAAGAGTGAGCAGTTGCCCATAACTGGACCCTAGTCATCATCCAGCCAAGTCAAGCATGGTGATTCATCCATCATAGTATTTAAGTATATAATTAGGGAACTTTGGAGACCTGTTTCAAGACATTTTAGTCTTGGACAGGCAAACCACTGAGCAAGTCACTTCCCTTCTTTTTTCTGTGCTTCATTTTCCAGGCTCCAAAATGTGTCTCACCTCCTCCATGGTGGTAAGGATG